GTGGCAAGCCTAGATCTGACTACAATATTGTACTTTATACTTTAACATCTATCACAGTATAGATTAGACGGCGTTTTAACACGTATATATACACACAAACACACACACACACACACAATGGCGGTCATATACATTAAACAATGTTGTAAATTTAAAATAAAGCGTATGCTCACTAAGCATTTGAGTTGGAAACTAGTTAAAAAATATAAGAAAACGTTCGGACGCATGCAAATTGATATAATTCTATGTTTATAATGTATTTTTCAATCAAACAATCAACTGTAAAATTACTTACCTAAAACGCACCAGGAAAGTTTTCAACTTCTGTGGAGTTTTTCGAGTGGACGTCCGGTGAAATAGCCGTTGGAATGTATCGCGCATTCGCAGTACAGCTCTAGTCCGCCTGGCCTTTTCGAAAGGTGCCTTTTTTCAGTTTTTTTCTACGCCAATGACTGATTGTTTGATGACTTGTTTGATGAATCTGTATGCATCTGGTCTTCAAGTATGTTATTTTTAAAATGTATTCACTCCAATTTTATTATGATGTTTATCAAAAAAAATGATTTAAGATTAGATGTAATTATCAGCTAAAACACAGATCTTATCAAAAGCTGTAGCCTATATTAAAATGGGTGGGGGATGGGGGAGCAGTCACAATGACGTGTGAATGTGTCATCTCTGCTTGGCCACAATGAAAAGAGATATGTTTGAAGGGGTTAGAGTGAGGTTGTTTTCCTAACCTAAGAATACTGAACCAACGGTCAAGCATGGTGGTGGTAGTATCATGCTGTTTTGCTGACAGTACTGTACATCAGTACATTGTACAAAGAGGATGGAATAATGAAGCAGCACTAGACTGGGATTTTTTTGTCATAGTAGCAGATACAAAAAGAGGAACATAAAAGAAACAGAATAATAAGTATTTACTGTAACCCTCTGGATCGAGTCTGAGGCCTTTCACCCACTTTCAAAGTAGTCTGACATGCCTTGACATTTTACAGTTTTCCTGAATTGCTAAAACACATTTCCTAAAATCTCCTCTATAAGCACAAACCCTAAAACTCAAGCTAAACCACAATACCTTACACTCGTCTTGCAAAATCAAACAATCTTCTGAAAACTATTATCTTTGCTCAAAAGCAAACACTGCTTTCAGATCACACATCAAGCCAGTCGGTTAAATAAACACTAATGAACATGGTCATTACACACTACAGCAAAAAATTGAAAACACATACAAGTCAAATATTTGTATATATATATAACTGTTGCTGGCATGTAAATTAGAAACTGCAAGACTATAGTAAAAAAAAGTTTGGTCGTCTACCAAAAATATTTGTATACTGTACATTTATGACTGCAAAAACAGAATAACTAATATATAACATTAATTGCTGTATTCAGTACTCCAAAAAAGTTACTGTAAAGGACAAAGCCAAAAAGTAAAGCACAGTACAGAACCATATGTTTTTTTTTCATTTTCCACTCTGTCCACCCTTATTCTCCACAATCTTAGCAGGACTAGGTATAAATAAATAAATTCTTGGTGTGAACTTTCCAAGATGCATTCCGGAGCTCAACATTTGGGACGTTAATTCACATGTAAAAGTTTTGGCCCTGGGGGTTTCAAATTTCCACTAAGAAACTTAATTAAATATTAAGAATTAAACAATTGTATGTGTGTTCAGAACAATTATAACAGCAGTAATTTTTTAGACAAAATCTCTGTGTTACCCATATCGCGTTCAGCCACATTTCACCCATATGGGTTTGCCCAGATCCTACCCATATGGGGCCCATATCGTTCAGCCCACGTTTAACCCATATGGGTTTGCCCAGATCCTGCCCATAAGGGGCCCATATCGATCAGCCCCATATGGGTTGGCCCAGATTCTGCCCATATGGGGCCCATATCGTTCAGCCCCATATGAGTTTGCCCAGATCCTGCCCATATGGGGCCCATATCGTTCAGCCCACGTTTAACCCATATGGGTTTGCCCAGATCCTGCCCATAAGGGGCCCATATCGATCAGCCCACATTTAACCCATATGGGTTTGCCCAGATCCTGCCCATATGAATTCTGGATATCCGTAAAGACATTTTTACTAGTCACAATGTATTTCGGATATTCGAAATTGCATTCTGGATATCTAAAATGGTGGTATCCTTTCGGATATCTGAAATTAAAATTATGACTAGTAACAATTGGATTGTAGATATCTGAAATGGGAGTTTTTCCTAGTAAGAATTCAATTTCGGATATCCAGAATGTTAATTCTAGATATCTGAAATGGGAGTTTTTCCTAGTAAGAAT